CCCCCGTTTGTGTTCCAGCATCGATCAGGTTTCTGTTACTTGGTCTGACTGCTGTTATGATTCTGTTCAGTTTATGTAAAGAGTTTTCTGTAATAATTTGAAGAAGTAACAATACATGCTTGTTCATTAAGTGGATAAAGCTTTAAAGTGGTTTTTGATACTGTTAATTTTCTCAAAACTGCAATTTTTGGACGTTGAAATTAAACGATTTGTTAATTAAATATGACTAAAATGAAAAATACCTCATGTTTAAAAATATAAAAATTGTATTAACACTATTAAAGAACAGGTCTTAAGTATTTATGTTACACAAATATTTCCATTGCACGAAAGAGACAAATTGAAGAAAATTGTTTAATAGACATGAGGGTTATGAGGGCGTCCCTGAAACTTTTGCTCCCCTGTAAGACATCCCTGAACCCCTGCACTAGAAGGTGCTGTTTATCTGAGCTTGTTATAAGATCTCAGACTGAAGAAGTCTTTTGGATAAAAGATGAAACATTTCAACAAACTAGAATCCATCAAGAGGACCTGACTTTAACCTTGTTAAACTATTATGATCATGATGTTTGTACTGATCTGTCCAAACTTGTAAACAAAATTATTCACTGAGGCATTAAAGCTGAGAAACAAGACTTGTACTTTTTCCATTGAGGACGCTTGAGAAAGAACCTGAATCCATCTTAAAATCCCACCTGAGGTTGTATCTGTTTGGTGCAACAGGCACTACAGTGGGCTACTTTAACATCATACACTCATGCTGCACATTATCATTGTCACAAATAATATACCTGGTGATGTCATTGTGATATATCTTACTTTACACATCTAATACTTGGTCATTCAAAACAGTGTTTTAAAATTGGATCCTTGTAAGTTGTAGCATTCACAATCAGAACACAAAATGACTAAATACTCTATAAATCAAATGATCGGCAAGGCAATTTACAATCAAGTATCAGATCTCACAATCATTTAGGTTTTATTGTTTTGTTCTTTTGAAGTTCAATGTTTATAAATAAGAAGTTGTACACCATTTAACTTCTATAGTTTGGTGTAAAAATCAAAATATATTCTCAAACATAAAGATAGGCCACTCCCTATAAATAAATCCTATTATTTCTTCAGTTAAAGTCTTCGGAAGCATTCAGAAAATATAAAGTTGTCCTCCAGACATATTTTCACATTGCTTATTCTTTTAAACCAAGCTAATCATCAATTCCTATATTTATCCTTGAAGTACATGAAAACTAAAAGTTAAATTACATCGTATATATTATAAAGTATTAGATGTTGAACTAAATCCCAAACGACGTTTATTTCCATAATAAACGGTTTGGACTAGTGACGTCATCTTTGTGCGCGAGCATGCGAGCAGGGTCACGAATAGTAGACACCGGGTAGTCTGTCAAATGAAACCCCCTCGGTATGGAGCTTCATGTCTCAGTTGTTGAGTAGTTTTTCACACTAGGCCATCTGTTATCATTAAAAACGAAGCCCGACGGGCTAAAATACCAGCGGACATGTCGTACTGCAGAGAAGAAGGTAATGTTGAATCTCACCTGAAGTCATTTTCCGTCCGCGGTAGAGCTAGCATGCTAGGCTAACACGTAGAAAGAGCGAGAACTTTCCGTAGGTTTCATGGCTTTTTTTTAAAAAAACTCTGCCGAGGAACGAAGCTAGGTCTGTGCTTATTGTAAAGTTGCTTTAAAAAAACTTATTCTAGACTTATTTATTGTCTTTATTTCTGCATTGACATTCAAACCACAGGTCGAGAGCGCTTCAGACGATTAATCCTTGTGACACCCAGTGTGACCGCTAGGGTTCAATGTCAGCTCACTGTAATATCAATAATGATCAGTTTGAGTTGTCAAAGAGCTGAAACTGTCAGCGCAGACATACATGGTTGGACTTTTTTTTTTTTTTTTACTCATAATGTTTCCATAACCAGCGTTGATGTTTTATCGTAACCAGGTAAGGATCGTATCATCTTCGTGACCAAAGAAGACCATGAGGCTCCCAGCAACGCTGAGCTGATCGATGATGACCCCAACGATCCCTATGAGGATCAGGGTTAGTACTCTGTAGGCCTGCTTAGACCAGGTTTTCAATTATTTCTTTAAGAAGAACTGGGGAACATAGAGAATCAAAAGATTAAAGCTTATGTGTTTATTTGGAACTGAATAGTCAAAATCTTAGTTAAACTGTCTGTGTAATAATACTAGCTCATCATCATAAGCTCACCTATAGCTGTCATCAAAAATGTTGCAAATATTAAGACTGATGCACATAAATTATATAACAACTTTGATTTTTGGTCAGGAAAAATAGCACAGACTGAAATCTTGGCTATAAGATAACCAAAACTGACAAATGTGACCTGATTTCTGCAGGCCTGATCCTGCCTAACGGAGACATCAACTGGAACTGCCCTTGTCTGGGTGGGATGGCCAGCGGACCCTGTGGTTCACAGTTCAAGGAGGCCTTTTCGTGCTTCCACTACAGCAAGGAAGAGATAAAGGGCTCTGAGTGCATCGACCATTTCCGCAGCATGCAAGAGTGCATGCAGAAGTACCCCGACCTCTATCCTCAGGAGGAAGACAAAGAAAGCTCCTCCCAAACCGAGTCCAACCCTGTTTCAGATGCCACTGACAACACTGCCTTATTGTCTGAAAATGACTCGACTCCAACCATGTCAGGGGTCGCGTCTGACAACATGTCGCCTACAGGCAACCAGACTGTCAGCTCGTCGTAAGTGACTCTCCAAGAGCAGCTCTGAGCGGCTATTTATGAGTCAGAAGAAGAGGACCGGCAAAGCAACGTCATTTGTACAAACGCATAGGCTGCTTTGTTTTCTGGGAAATCGGTAATGATCTAATACTATGATTACTGAGAGTTAACCATGTTTTTTGCTGCAGGGACTTAATTTATATACAAAAAACAGAAGAGCTCTTTTTAACGTTTGAGCGTTGTCCTCTTCATGTCAGCTGGTTAGGTGTCCTGTTAAAAATGATTCAAACTGACTCAAAGTTAAACTGTAATTGCTAAAGCCAGTGGTATACGTAATATTTGTATATTTTAACTTTAAGAAGAGGCAGTTTTGAGTCTTTTTAACCTTTTTTTTTAGCACTTGAGAGACCAAAGCTTGTGGCAAGAAGAACCGGGCTGCCACTTGTGTTTTGACGTAACGTTTCCTGTGCTCGCTGTCTTATAAAAACTTCAGGATCTCCTATTGCTGTTCAAACGATAGTAGGTACTGGTCTACTATGGCCTTTCACATTTACATGTGACTGAATAAATGTTTTTGTTGTCAGAAGTCGTCAACTGGAAGTTGAAGTCACAACTTTAAGTCTGCTGGTGTTTGTCACTAAACTTCAGATTAAATTGTTCATCAACTTTTCCCATTTTCTGATTATTTAAAAACATCAAACACTTTCTGCTTATTTATGAAATAAATATTCTAATTAAGCAACAGGAGAGGTGACGGGTATGATCTGAACTCTGGAGTCAGTCGTCGCTGTCTGTCCATCTGGATGAATGACTTGTAGCTGTTTTAGTGTCAAATGGGGAACTAAATGTTCATTGAGTAGTTTTTTTTTTAAATGAGGTCATAAAAAACACATTTGATCACTTTTAGCCTGACAGAGTGGCCTGAGATGTTCTAAGTTTTTCAGTCACTGACTTCCTAAACATTTAGTCACTGTTTATGCAACAACAGCTGTAACCTCACATCGGTCTTGTGATTTCACCGGATCACGAGTTTCATCATTTTCACTGATGACGGTGATTTTCAGTCCAGTGTTCTTTAATTCTCAGTCCTATTGAAGCACTCCTATTACAAATTTATAAAATAAAATTGTCCCATTGCTCTACAGTTTTGAAATAAATCTTGTGGCTCATTTGGAACTCTTGGTAGCCTTATGTCAAATAAAAAAAATTTGAGGATAAAGCTGTCAGAAAACAAACAATGGGATTTTGTTAAATCCTGATAAACTTATATGTATATATTTTATATTAAACTATATTCTCATACTTCACATGAAAATCATCAGAAGTTTAGGTTACAGAAAATAGGGCTTTACATGTTTAATACTTTATACACAATCACAGTTAACGTTTTGTACTTTTTACAAACTTTTAACAGACAGTCCTACAAACTACTGTACCATAATTTGAATTACTGTATTTAAAAATTATTTTGCAACAAACTTCTTAACTTCTTAATCCAAAACCTTTTTATATTATGTAATACAGTATAATATGAATTGTACACCACAATACCCTGATTCATACTCGATAATCCAGGTAGAGTAATCCAGCAAAGTTAACGTCAGATCCTCTGGACGTTTCAACTAAAGAAACCGTCCAGAGGATCTGATTTAACTTTGTTCATCACAATGTGTGTCTTTTTGTCTTATTCCACTCAGTGTGTCCCACTGCTATAAGACTGGTGTTTTTTCTCTTTCAAACCTCCCCAGAAAACTGAGAATAATCTTACTCAGATTCAGGTATATTTTAGCACGAAATAAAAATATTGGTCTTTTGAATTTGTCATATCCAACATAAAAACATGAAAATTCTCGTGTCTGGCCATCAAAGTTTTCTGCCTCTCACTGTTCTATAATTTACATGAGCCAACCTTTAGTTTTCATACAGCAGAAATTTGAGGCTTAACTCCGTCTGTCTATTAACTTTGCTCTCAGGGAGCGAGAGACACCAGTACATTGTTACCATGGCTACCTTAATATGCCATTTACAGCAGCTTTAACATTTCTTATGATCTTGGTTGTCTTTACTCTTACTGTACAGCTCATACATCAAAATGTAGATGATTTTATTTTTTTTTAGATTATTAGAAAACATGGTGGAGTTGTGGGTGGTAGCTTCGTTGTCACCCTTCAATTTTTCTTCAGAAATGTTTTGTTTTTATTTATTGTTTTTGGAAACAGTCTTATCAGCACATCCGGTGTGATCCTCTCAATTGTACTCTGATCTTTTGGATGCTGGACATCCGTTCCTCAGGTCCTCTGAAATAAACAAAGCTAGTCGAGGCGTCCATGGAACCACCACGCTCTGCATGGTGACCAGCAGGCGGCCCGACCCCAGCTCCTCTGGACCTGCAAGCAGGTATTTGGTACCTGAGTTAACAGGGAAAAAACAATCATATAATTAAATCTTTTTGTTGGTTTATACTATACATCAAGACGTTTCTTTTATTGTTCAAATGGTGCTGAAGAACATTTGAAATGGGGTTTTTCACCTGGGTTCAGGACGGGGCAGGTGCAGCCTCGGCTGGTCCAGGACAGAGGATACAGACTGATGGTTCCCTGGTGCAGCGCCACCTGGCCTGATCGGAGCACCTTACGAACTTTGACCTGCACTTCTGCGTGACTGCCTTTGTCTTGAGCAGACAACACACTTGCTTTGATCACTGCCATGAGCCACAAAAAGAACATTCTGATGCATCGGCCGTGCTGCCAATCAAATTTCCACAGAAGTAAAAATAAAATAATTTCTCACCGTAGTCATGTTTGTTCTTACACAGGTCAGACACACTTCTCAGCCGTTTCTCTTTACACCTGCACTTTCCTGCGTGATAACATAACGTGGGTTTTATCTGCATCATCTGATTTTGTCGTTGTGTTCCTCACCGTGCAGCTGATCCTCACCTGTGCTGTGCTGAGCAGAAACTGCGAGTTCCTTCGACCACGGTTCCTCTTCTTCAGTTGTGAACAAATGATCCACGTCTGGGACTTTTCCACCGATGGGCACATCTAACAAGTGATTATCAGAGTAGCTGCAAATGTAGGATGAATCACATCACTGTTTATTATGGTGTGCTGTTTGTAAAGTTACACAGTCAAAAATTAACAGCAATATTTTGGTTTATTTAGCCCTTCATAAGAAAAAATAGTTTTGATTTTTTTCAAAGTCAAATTTTCACTATGTTATTCATGTCATAGTTGCAAACTAAATATTTAATTTACAAGCAAAGTATTTAGTTTACAAACTTAATATTTAACTTGCAAGTTAAGTATTTAGTTAGTGAACTAAATTAAATATTTAATTTCATAGCTAATATTTATTTTCAAAACTAAACATTTGTTTTCCAAACTAAACATTGAATTTCTAAGCTAAACATTTAATTCCTAAACTAAATATTTAATTTAACTAAATATTTAGCTCCGACCTAAATGTTTATTTTCCAAGCTAAACATTTAACTTCCAAAACAAATATTTAATTTGCTAACTAAATATTTAGATCTGACCTAAATATGTAACTTGCAAGTTACATATTTAGTTTGTAAATTAAACCTTTAGCTTGGACATAAACCTTTAATTTGTAAACTAAATATTTAGCGTGGAGCTAAATATTTAGCTTACTAACTAAATATTTAACTTGCAAGTTAGTTTGTAAACTAAATATTTAGTTTGGAACTATGACATTTATAAATGTAAGAATAGCATGGTGAAAATCTGATTGAAAAAAAAAAAAACTATTTTTTTTATGAAAGGCTAAATAAAGTAAAATATTGCTGTTAATTTTTGACTGTAACTTTACAAACGGCACCCCAGCATCTAAAACAGGTTTATCAATGTGAGGGCTCGGTGCAAACTGTGGCAGATGGGAAATGGACTAAAAGAAAAACATACAAAATTGCTTCACATGGAGAAATACTGAATACTGAACTTGTATTTTTCCTCTTAAGCTGTTTGTTCATGTTCTGGATAGAATTCAGCTGTTCTATTTACAAGGCTTTTTGTTTAGTTTTCTGCACAAATAGAGCAGAAAGAACACATTTTGTTTGTACATCGTCCACATTTAGACAGCTCGTTTAAATTATCAACATCTTTTGCTAAATTCTGATCTAAGTGATCATCTTGGAGACTTTTTAAAAAAATGTTTTGTTTTTTAATTTGTTGCGTTCAGGTTTGTCGTCATCTGGTCTGCAGGCACTTTCCTTTAACTTCAGGCTTAGAGTTGTGCTAGTATCTGTTTTGTTACTCCAATTAAAAGGGGATACCATAATAGTTTCTCAAGATTGATGCTATATTTTTCTCTCTTTCATGTAAAAAAAGGCAAAAAGTTTTATTAATGTTTTTGATTTATGTTTTGCAAAGTCAGAATTTTCATCTGTCAAATGAAATTGCTTCGAGTCAAATCTATGATGAGGACTCGGATACAGAGTCATGGCTCTTCTCATCGTTGCCAGGTGTATCTACCTGTTCAAGCAGTGCCCAGTGGTCGGATCACAGCGGTGTGGACAGGCACATGGTTTGCAGCCCTCTTCTCCAAAGCCCCAGAAACTGGGTAGACAATGGCTGCAGCTCAAGCCCCCTACACCAAATTTACAGCGACACTGACCGCTCCTATGGTGGCACCAGGCTCCATCCTTCCCAGGCTTGGGAGGCAAAGATCCCTGAGGATCACACCAGCAGCCTGCAATGCAGAGGCAAGGAAAAAAGTTTGCATTTGTTGTGAACATTTTATTTTATTTGACTTTAAATTTAGGTTTCAAAAACATCAACAGCTGGAGCTCTAAGCCCCGATACCATTTCGTTTATTCACAACTTTGACTTAATGCAAATAAAATTATAACTTAAAAAAAGAAGTCAACTTGGAATCAAAAGCTGCTATATTATACTTTTCTGATGAGATCAAGTTACATCTTGACCCTTACGTGTGCAGGCGTGGGGGGATTTTAGGGGCAGGGATATCTGGCGATGGTAGCCGTGGCGACAACGATGGCAGCGGCGTCCCTCAGTGTTGTGCTGACAGTTGTCACAGACGCCCCCGCTGGTTCTACCAGAGGAACGCCATGCTCCCAGGGAGAAGTGGCAGCTATCTGAGTGGCTGTGGCACTCACACTCTTTAGTCATGTGGGATGGGAGAAGATTTAGAAATAAGATGGGAGGAAAGTAAAGACAAGAGGTGGGTGAGGGTGGCCAGGTCATCATCAGGTGGAAACATTTTGATGCATCAAGGTAGACATACTCAAGTCAAAATGACATCAGGAGTGTAAAGAATGCAGGTTTCACCATAAAAGATGTAACGGTTTAAATTCAGAATCTATTTTTGTAACATCTTCTTTGAGCTGTTAACTCTTCAGGGGTTTCCACAGCGAGTCATCCTCCTCCATCTCACTCTGTCCTCCCTCCAACTACCTCCATGTCCTCTTTAACTGCATCCATATATCGCCTCTTTGTCTTTTTCCTGGCAGCTGCATTTCTAACATCTTTCTTCTACCAATATACCCACTGTCCTCCTCTGGACATGTCCAAACCATCTCAGTCTGGTCACTCTAACTTTATCTTCCAGTTGTTCAACCTGTGTTGTACCTGTGATGATCTCATTCCTAATCTTATCCATCCTTGTCACTCCTAAGGAGAACCTCAACATCTTCATTTCTGCCACTTCCAGTTCTTTCTCCTGTCTTTTTGTCCATGTCTCTGTCTCCAGACCAGAATCAGAATCAGAATGCCTTTATTGTCATTATACGCAGTACAATGAAATTAAGAGCCACTCCTTTTTCCAGTGCAAAAACACGCCTTAAGAAAACACACACTAAAAATATAAAAAATGTAACGCAATATAGATATAATAATGAAAGTAAAAAATACAAGTATTACAC